ATGTGAAAACTGATTTCAAGAAATACATGCATATATTGGCCTTTTTAGTAAAACCCCAATCATAAATATTCACTAATGAATTTAATAAATGGTAATCAGTACCTAATTTAACATATCTCATCAGTCCTTAGTCATAAATAACGTCCACTAGCGGCCGAGCAGTAACGTCACTGAACACTAGTAGTTTGATCTGGAATTGAGTTTTCCCACTTGTAACATGAATATGAGCCAGTTTTCTTTAAAAAGTCTTCCAAGAAGGCATCCCGTCCCATACAGAGACAGCCCTCCTTTGTTTTAATTAACCGTAGTCATAAATAACAAATTGTTTTCCCATCCGAAAGTCCTCCATGAAAGTTAAAGTTGTCTATCTGTATCTGAGCATCTAAATGCGTCATTTCAAATCTTGATATAGACAAATAATCGGAAATTCTTATTTCCTTTTTCAAAGTTTTTTGAATCACCCAGATCACCATCATATTTTTTCCACTTTCATATAATGCTTGTGACGATTTTATGAAAAGCTATTTACATTTCTTTTCTACCAACAACTATTTTTCATAAATATTTACTCTTACCTGCTGAGAATTTTATGTTCCAACCGTTTTGAAATTTGGAAATAAACACATCTTCATAACAGTAAAATATTCATAATCAAATATCGTTCGGACCTTTTTATTTGATAACACTTTCAGTAAAATGGAAGTATTTTGCTTAGGGTAAAAAATGCATCATACGATTTCATATACTTTCAATACTTTATTTTATCAACGCCAAAAGGCGATTTAATCAAATACGATATTATTTGCGAATGATTTTTCATATCATGCCAAGGAAGTTTCTCAGTAGAAGAAATCAGAAAAGTAAAATGAATTTTTCTTTAAGGAATCGAACCTTGTCCTCATATTTCAATAACAAAATGTCCATACTTCACATTCACACAACTGAATGAATTTCGATACAAACATATAAATGACACATTGATTTGAAATGGAATTACAAGATTTGAAATCATTCAAAAATCTCATTTTTATTTCAGAACAATTATTCAAAATATATATTGAAGTAATTCTTTTTGTAAACTGTTATAATAATTTTAAAAAATACAGTATTTTTAATCAATGTGCAATGTATTGTGAATACGGCAAGCACACTAGGGCTATCTGCCTAAGGGGAAGGATGCCTTCGAGGAGGACTTTCTAAGGAAAACTGGCTCATATACACGTTACACATGGGGAAAACCACAAAAATGCCCATGCAGCCAGCCCATTTGTGGGATTCAAACCTCAGATCGAACTACCAGTGTTCAGTGATTTTACCGCTCGGCTGCTGGTGGGCCTAATCAATGTGCACAGCTAAAACAAAAAAATTATATCAAATTTCTCTGTTTCTACAGTCATTGTAAGATACCTGTTTAAGTATTTATTCTATGGTAAAAGAAATTATTTGTAAATTAGGTGATGCTGAATTCTTTAAAAGTTATTCATGGGTTCCGTGCAAATTACATTTACTTTTGCAGAAGAAATTTTGTTTTGCAAATTTTTCATATACGGAAAGGTTTGCGTTGAAGGCTTTCCAGTTTTGGCACGAAAATCGTCCTCAGGTCGGTGGATGGTACAGCTGGATTTGATGTTTTTATTTATGACCCTCCCATTGTAACATCTTTCTCTAACGACCGCCGTTTCCCCACTAGCATTTAAGCATGACAGGGGGTCAAGGGAATGACAGTACAGAATATTCTGTCCTCAATGATTTCGAAAATGTAAGGCAGAAAAAATCATTTGAAACGCTTTTGGATTCATCAAAAGCTGGCAAAATAATCCGTGCATGACGATTTGGAAAGCCATCTTTCAATACGGAAATATCCGTCTGTAACGCTAACAGGGTTGCCACTCAAACAGGAGAATGAAATTCCCTGACTTTTCCAGGTTTTCCAGGTGTGTTTCAAGAAAATTCCAGTCTATCCGCGTAATGTACGTTGGCTGTGCTAAGAGGTAAATTAATTATGGTATTACTTGTATTGTGTAGCAAATTCACTTAATTATTCAATAAATCCCAGAGGACATTTTTTCTTAATTATTCTTGGTATACTTTGTTTGATAATTTTGTTTAGTTTTCCACTTAAGAAACTTAATAAAATTTAAGATATATTGGATAACAAATGTATGTTTTATTTAATTATTACTCATGATCATCACCAGTTCAACACAAGGCTAATCCGGTCCTTATAAATCACAACGCAATGCTAAATAGTTAGGTTAGATTTTAGGTAAATTTAATTTGCGTGAGGTATGTTCTTAAAAGGCACCTTAACACTTGAAAACACAAATATAATTATAATAGTTGTTGTTTTCTCCACTGAAGATTGAGATTAGAAACTTCCCATTCTGGAATAAAATAAGGCTTTTTTTTTTTTTGCAGACATTCTGCAGCTAAAACGAAAGAAAGAAATCTATTTTAATAAATTGAGGTATTTATATTTATTTTGCAGCATACATAAGGAAAAAATATGTGCATTAAATTTCGTGATGGTATGTCATCATACTGCTATAATTAATTTCAGAATTATGCCAGAGAAAATTTCCTGAAATTTGGAAATTATTTTTACTAATAATAAATAAATTTAGAGGGAAGAAGCAACATTAAATTATATGAATAACATAAAAATAATTACTTAAAAATTGAATTAGAATAATCAATGATATTTTAGCGAATATAGTTATATTACATGGCTAGCCTAGATGACTGATTACTACTTTTTTATTTTACTGCAAAATGGCAAGGTATTTATTAAAAAGAAAAAAAGGTTTAAAAAAAGATTTTGCGGTAAAATTCTAGTATACGAAAAGGCTTTGGCACGATTTTGAAAAATTGTCGCCAAGACCAAAATGACCCGTTTACTACTGCGCATCAAGATGTCGCCAAATCCCATTATTATTCTAACCAAAGAACGTCTATGTAAGAAAGAAAAGGTTCCATACAAGTAAAATGCTATTACGCCGCTAGAATGCGGAGGGAAAATTTGCCAAGGGATTTGGCGACAGAACCTGGCGGCCAGAATTTCCCTCTCCGCGATGTGTACAGGAAATTGAGAAACACGTGTTAAGAAGAATCGCTCTTTGACAAAAAGAAAAACTATGAAAATCCGTTTTTAATTTATTGCGAAAAATCCAAGAAGAAACGTTTTATCAAAGGACGTTTCTTCTTCTTGGATTTTTCGCAATAATTTTAAAAACGGATTTTCGTAGTTTTTTTTTTTTTTTTTTTTCCCTCTGAAAATAACTAATCCATGAATTAATTTACTTGCGCCAAAAAATATTTTCTTTTCCTTTAGAGTTTAACCACTTGCGCTAAGACTAAACTTCACGGTTGCGGTGCCGTGCGCTACAATATAACAAGCCGTAAAGTGTCTCATTTATGCCGCTCCGCATCTGCGAGTGCAATCCAGAGCTGTAACTCGAGAAATAAAAAATCTCGTTGTTAGGCGACGTGTGCACCACGTTATTTTCATTTTTGCGATAAATGCTTATCAACGTGGTGTTCACGTCGCTCGTGATTTGAGACAAAAGAATCTCGACGTGCTTGGCACGTCTTTTTAGCGCAAGTGGTTAAAGAAATTTTAAACGATATTCATTTTACGAACTCTTGATAACGTGACCTTCGAACTTCGACACCGGTTTCGAGCTTTGGCAACAGATACATCAGACATACACAGCTGTTTTCCCTCTATGATGGAACGGAGCCACAGCCACGTCTGTTGCAGAGAGGTTTTCCTTCTTTACAATACATATTCTTTGATTGTAACCTCCATGGTACCGTATACTAAGATTAAACCCATTTTGTTTTATACGAGAACAGGTACTTTCTTTAGCTCATGCACTGCACATGCGATTCTCGAGAATATTGGAAACCAAAAGTTGCGGGAAAGTTGCTTTCCCTTTCTAAAAGACAATCAAGTTGGAGCTGCAAAAATTGGCTCTATGCCAGCTACCCGAATGACACTCACGTGATACATAATTCGCCAAAAAAGTTACCTCTTCCGATGTCGGCGCAAAAATCACTTTTTTTGGCGGGATCGTTGTATGAACTTCCCTGACTTTTCCATATTTTGACAAAAATACTTAAATTCCCTGACTTTTCCCTGAATATTTTGGTCAATTTTCGAATTCCCTGACTTTTCCCGGTTCTCCCGGTTTTCCAGGTAGCGTGGCAACCCTGCGCTAAGAGGGTTAACCATATAAGTCTATAATGAAGATAAAATAACATGCCAAACAAGTTTTAATTTAGAAGTCAAACAACAAAAATCAGCTATTTCTCCCCCCCCTCCCACACACACACACACACTTTGGCAGCTGAGGCTGATGGTTTGCTAAAATCATCCAAACTAGTCCCGTGAAAATTTGCAAATATAACGCTAATTTTTTTTGTTTGACTTTTAAATCACATAAATCCATGTTTGTGAAGTACAAGTCATTCACATGGCTTCAAACAATACAAAACCTGTGAATCACATCTGATGCACATGGCTCTGAAACGTAGGACCACTGTGGAGCATCTGTGATGCACATGGCATTCAAGGTGTTAAACAAATGTGACACATATGCACATGCATATGAGAAGTCGTAATCCCATATGCATGTGTTAACTTCCTTTTTTTGCACCTTTTCTCCAACAACTATTAAAGTCAAAATTCTCACATATTGTTTCTCTTCAATACAGCTTTGCATTTTCCAAGATAGTTTAGCATACAACATGAGACAGGGTTGACAATAAATGTTAACATATTTAAAAACAAATTGCTTTAAGGCATTTTAATAGATTATCTCTATATTAAAGCTTAAAATTTATCATATTGCTCCAAAATAACTGTGATTTTATTCTCACAAGCAACAGATATAAAGAAAAATCCATTTACAACTTGAATATATAACACATTCACGAAGAATCAAATTCAGGTTTGAAATAAAGTATTGTAATGAAAAACAACATAAATAAAAACTTACCACAAGTCATCAACTACTCGAACAAGTAAAGCAAATGAGTTTCTAGCTGCCCTTTGCCTCATGTCTCCCACATGAATAAATTTATTATACCTGTACAATAATTTGCATATCAAGTCATGAGGTGAAATAAAAGTGCGGTAAGTCGTCAAAAAAGCTTCCTGATATAGAAAGTCTAAAATAAATTAATAAATTTTATATTTATTTAATTAGAGAAAACTTTTAATCAAAATGTGCATAAATGTGCAAACATGTATAATTTGCAATAGCAATTGGATACTGAGCATATAAATACATTCTTTAATAAACAATGAGCTTATTGGAGGAAATTATTTACATACACATGCTCATGAACAAATAAGATAACATTACCATTTTGCAGCAGTATTGCAATTTATGGAGAAAACAGTGTTACAGAAACAGGAAATGTGTGCACCTAAATGCCATTTGGACATGAAACTATTATTGAGCACAGCATAAACACATAGTTCACAAATGATCCTGAGATATACATATCACATATGGTGCAATTAACTATCTGGTTAGTCAACATTCTGTAATGGGATTAGTAATGTGTAATGCTTAATCAGATAGGTATTGAATCTAAGCAATGAGGCTGGTAATGAAAGCATATGAACACTAAGGTAACAAACAATCCTGAAAGAACTGCACAATGTGTGGTTGAGACTGTCTTATTGAAAAAGGACCACATTTGATAACAGCAGCAATAAAGTAGGTCACAAAATGTTGGATGTAGCCAGATGTTTGGAAGACGACTATATACCCACAGATATGTTTTGGTGTCCCATTGTTCAAACAACACTATACCACCCATCTGCAATGGTGTCATGAGCACCACAATTAGACAAAACAGGACTGGGCTTGAATAACATTCTCAGGTGACAATAGCTTCAGTCTGTCATCAGCTAATAGATGACAACTGATATGGCATGAGAGTAGTACTGCTTATCATCCAGAATATATCCAGGAAAGGGACTAAAATCCAAGATGCAGTATTATGGTATGGGCCGGCACCATGATCAATGGCCACATGCCTCTAATGTGCTTGCAACTGGGACAACCCTCCCCAACAAAGCTCCAAACAGAAAATAAATATGTAAATACACCTGTAAATAACTTATTGCATTGTATTTATCCATGCAACTGTGAAGTACCAATGTAAAGTACACCTCATGTCAATTTTGTCTGTAATGCAAATTATGCACCATTAATATGTAACTAGTATGAATGTTGTAATGTAAACAAATGCCTGAGCATGGCGTTAGAGTACCCCGTGAGGGTGCACTTTTATAGATGGTTAGTGCAGTGAGGCGACACCACTTTTGGCCCATGATGATGTTTTAGTGCCCTCTGCACTTGCTTCTGTCTGTCTACCTCATGTTCGCCTTTCCCATGGTGCTTTTACTGATAAATATGCTAAAATGCATAGTGTATACACTATACACGCTATACTATCTGAAATGTTTTCTGTATTTCATTCTTCTTTAGAATAAGAGTGATCTGAATCTCAGTTTCAATCAGAACTGCTTGAAATTCCTTACTCTAAAAATGTTCTAGGATATTCCATCATACAATTTTATCCTCAGTAAGCTCGTTTTTGCAGGAATAATTTGACAAACTATCTGTAGACAATTTATCATCCTCATCACATTCTATTGTATCCTGGTTGAATTTTAGTAATTTACTGTAGACAAGAGAAGTTATTGTAAAAAACCACTTTGTCTCCAAAAACCGACTGATAATTCACAGAAAATGAGTTCAGTCTTCTCCCATGTTTTAATAACAATCTTCACAAAATGAGTTTAGTCATTTCTCATTTAAGATGTGTTAACAGAAGCAGCTTTTAACATGTAAATAAAACTATGTCATTAACAGTAAAATATTGCACAAATTTGTTAAATGCATCTAGAACTACAGCTAGATAATTTTTCACCTGAGGACATAAAAAGTAAATGCCCTATATGCAGTCAAATTAAATACAGTGAATCCTTTCATGGAAATTACCTGCACCTAAGATGACTTCCTCTGAAGGTGATCAGTAGTTGTCAGAATATAAATAAATATCAGTATTGAACATTTCTTTTCTAAAGAAATCACCTTTAGTCGTGAACAAAATCACATATGATGATCATATATGGATGAACATATATGAAATCTCATATGGATGATTGTCTTACGCACCTACAGGCCTGATTATTTAGAAAAGGTTCACTATATAGCTGCACACTTTTATATTCGACAAAAAACTATTTAAATCATTCTCATAACAATTTCTGCATGTAGTTTTATATATATTCAGAAAAACTGCACATGTAATAATTTATAGCTTTCAAACAAAAATGTTAAAAAAAAACTATCATAAATTGCAAAGAATATTGAAATAATATAGAAAATAACATAATACAAATTGGCAAGCAGTTTTTTGTATACTACTTGGTTATTTAATAACAATAATACATACAAAAGAAATTATAGCTTACATTAGCAACAGCTTCTTAATTCTGAATTTTGATTTGGCTGTTTCCTCTCTCTATTCTAAAAACAGCCATTGTTTACAATAATCTTTTCTGGACTGTTCCATTTTTAGATTGATCCATATCATGCGACTTTCAATAATGATCTGATGAAAATAACTTATACAAGCCTTTAACCAGAGTTTAAGAGTATGTCCTGAACATATTGCACTTTGCTTTTCCCTCTTTGGGGTTATAGACTGCAGCTGCACTGCTCACTTCTTATCACAAATAATATCAAAAATGTAAATATTACATTCTGGAACAGGTATGATTAATGTGCCAAGTATCTGTGGCTGCAAAATGTTATCTAAAATAAAATGAATATTTAAAATCTGTTACATTGCATCTACACAGCTTCAAAGTTTATTTCTCATTATGGATGATCTATTTATTCTTCCAAAGTTATCTGTGTCTATCCCAAATTATCATACATATAAGAAACTGCCATGTTTTAAAATTCTTCTTGACCAAGTAAGATCTTGCATAATGCTTCAGTTTGCTGAAAGTTCTCTCAGCATTAGCAAGAGTAACTGGTTATATTAAAAATATTTTTAAGAATACAATCAAATTTAGATATACTGTAGCTAAATTGTAGCCATGAATTTCTGAAATAGCATTTTTAAAACCTGATTATCTCTGATGAAATTTCTGAAGCAGAAATTGACTTTAAGGTCCAACCTAAATTTATCTCCGAAAGCCATTTGAAATCAGATATTGTATCAAGGTTTTCTTTAACAATATAAAGATTCAAGCTTTTACTTTGACCTCTGTATTCTACATTCACTGTAGTAAATCTTAAAAATATTGTTTTTTTTTACCATTATATTTTTTAAATACCAACTGACAGAAGCTGTGTATGAGAGGGGGGAAATTATGTCCAGTTCATCACTCACTTCTTGATGTAACGTTATTGAAATGAAGATTTGATGATAAAGGTGAGAGATTTCTATATAATAAATGGCAACTGAGAAAACTTGAAGTAAAAATTTTGACCAGAAGTGAAATCACTATCAATCCAGTGGATTCCATTCTCTCCACAACTCCAGATATTCCAGCATACTCAACCATTGGTTATGTAAATGATGATCTTTGCCTAGGAGGCATTATTGTGAAAGATGTGAAATATGAAAAAAAAAATGTTTCATAAAATGTAACTACAGCATTTTAATGCGAGAGATGCAAAAAAATGTGAAGAAAACTGCATGAAAATGACCTAACATTCCTAAGGGTGGGGAATTAACTTTGAAGTACACCTGTAAAAGGACTAACTATAAAATTCAAGATTTCAAATTCCTCTCCAAATGAAAAGAGCCGAGTGGACAGCAATTTCATTCCATGAGGGAAATTGTTTTCAGTAGTTACCCAAGCTATTCAAAGACTGAATAAAACTAGCATCTTTGGAAGAATAGCAAATCTTCCAAGACAATAGATCACGACTGTTATGCTGAAGCAAAGGGTTTACACATAAACAATATAAGCAGGAACTGCCTAAAAATAAAATTAACCTCAGAAAAAATTGAGAGAACATTACTTTCAAATTGCCCTCATAATGCATATTTTGTGCTATTCCAATGGTCATTATCTGCTCTAAAAGCAACATGGCTGTGATAGTAATTGACAAAAATGGAGCTATTTGCAATTCTGTTTGTTACTGCGATGTGGCGTACAGCTTGAAATAGATGAAATTGTTGTGTACATAACATAATTTAAGAAATCAAATTAGTAATTAATAAGAAAAGCATCACTACATGATTTCTATATCCAAATACAATTATATGCTGGGATTTAAACTACTGTTTGTTGAGAGCAAGTTGCATTTATAAGGCCATAGAGCTTCAAGGTCACATGCCACAGTAAGGTGCTCTACAGCTGCAGTTTGGCCATGCTTGCTATAGACTATGTACATTATTGTCAATGCAGAGGGTTTATCCCATAAAATCAGTTAAAAACTGCTTTCAAAAATGTGGATTTAATGCTGAAGAAGTCTTAGATGAATTGCAAACCATTGTAATGTTTGAAACAACAGTCAATGAAATTATGATGAATCATCTTTATATGCATCAATTTGCACAAATATTGAAGCAACATGTATAAAAATTGACAACAGAAGTGTTAAAAGAACTGCAGAAACAGGCATCAAAAGTGATTAAAAAAGTGCCACCGTCAATCAAATCTAAAATAGGAATGAAAATTGAGAGATATCAGTCAAATCTATAAAAGCACTGTAAATTCAAAGAAAAATTCTTGAGCTAAACGATGCTGAACAAAAAAAGCTATCAGCAGGCTTACAGAATTGAGAATACAATTTAAAAACTGTTGTAGAGCAATATGAAACAAACACAAATACAATAATTGTTCTTGTAAGCGATAAAATTTCATCAAGATAGCACTAGCTTTTTATTTTAGGATTAATTGTTAAATTAGTTGTTAGCTATTATTTTGCTAATTTTAAAACTGATATCACCATTTGCAAAACACAAATCCTCGTCTATTAAATTGAGTCGCTGAATAAACTCAAAAACGCTTGGAACCAAAGTGATTTTAGTAAGCAGTGGGTACCATATAAGTCCCCTTAAAAAACTTTTTTCATGATTTGCATTCAAGTTCCTTTAAAAAAAAAAAAAAAAAAAAAAAAACAATTTTCAGAATTAAATTTCATACTTGTGGGTTACCTCATTTTTATAGAATCTACTAAATTTATATTAGGAGATAATATAGTCAATATTTCTTTTATAAATAAATTATTACCATCTTACTTTGCATCTATTGCATTGAATTTCAGTTCATTCAATATATATACACATTTCTTTTTTCATCCAAACACAAATCATATAAGCTCGCATTTTCCTCTTTGCTTCAGGTGAAAAATATGCAGGTATGATTCTGCCGCTATGTGCAAATGTGCAGTAATAGTGTAAGTTTTTGGAAATGCTTCAACCTTGCTTTGCGTTCATTGGCTTATGTATACTCAATGAGTTGTAGGCTGTACTTGATGCTCAAAAAGACATGAAGATGACATTTCAGATACATTCACACACATAGTGGCATCCCACTCCTTTGGGGTCTCTCCCCTTTTTTCATTCAGGAAATTGATTGCTGAGTGCAAATAAAATACTATACTAGATTACATAAAATTCATGAGAAATTTTAGGAATGAGTAAAGTCAGGAGAAATATGTTGTAAAGCTGAATAGCAGGAGTACAGCCAAATGTCAGGAATCTCCCATTTAACCTTTTAACTGTCATGCCCGAGATAATCTCGGGTACAGCACTGGTGTTCGAAAATGTCACGCCCGAGTATTACTCGGGGTAATTTTTTTTTTTTTTTTTGAGTGCATCGTATTGTTATACACGAATATATATCGGGAGACGTTTATTTCGGCTTCATCTCTTTGTCAAACCCGTCTGTATCTCGAGAAAAGTTAATGTGCGCTCAGTTCAATAGATGACAGCACTTTACTGAAGATTTCAAAGGTTAGAGGTTATTTGGTTCAAAGTGCATGGGGTCTTTTTGTTGTAAAATAGCCTCCAGTTCTTTGAAACATTATATAGATGATTTAGATTCTTCAACCGAAGGTGAAGGATGTGTGTTTGATGAGCAGTATTCATGATACTTCCATGGTCAGCCTCAAAAATAAAAAATGGAGATATACTCAAGACGAAAATTGTTTCTAATTACGGTCTAACTATGGGTGGTGTAGATCGCTGTGATCAGGAAATATCCTTTCATCCAACAATCCGAAAACGTCACAAAAAATATTATAAAAAGATACTTTTTACATTTACTTAGACAAGGTACTCTGGAACTCATATTTGCTCTATAAAAATGTAGTTGAGAAACGTATTACATTTTTAGAATTTCGAATCCAAGTTGTAGAAGAGCTTTTACAAACAAATGATGATGCAGCTTCTGGACAAAAGAATGTTGGCAGACCACCTACAATAGATAACCCTGCCCGTCTTACTGAACGACATTTTATATCCCATTTTCCTCTTACTCCTGTGAAATGTGAGCCTACAAGACAGTGCAAAGTGTGTTGTTCGAAAAAAGATAAAAATGGGGAAAAGATAAGGAAGGAATCACGATTCTGGTGTAGTGATTGTGGAGTTGGTTTGTGCTTGAAAAAGTGTTTCCAGTTGTACCACACAAGACTGAATTTCAGTACTCACTTATATTTATTTATGTTTTAGAAAATAATAAATTTTTTTCATTTTTAGAAAATAATGCTCCACTAGAAGCGAACTTTGCAACTGCCATGTTGTGTGGCAGCCGCCTCAAAGCAAATATGCAGTGGCTACAAAACTTTAAAAATTTTACCCATGTACGCAAAATATCAATTTTTAACTACTTAAGTATATTTTATTTTGTACTAAACATTTGGTTTTTGCAATAAAAAAATTTGACAATTTGTGTACCCAAATTATCAAAATAACTTGACAGTCAAAGGGTTAAATCAGGCTACCTAGCACATCTACTTCTAGATTTTCCTGGTGACCAGATGCTATACTGATAGGCACTTTAACAGGGTGAATAGTTTTCTGGTGTCAACTGATATAAAGCAAAATGGATGGTAGAAATGAACATGTGCAGTGTTGTTAACACAGCTCTCACAAATGCTCTGTTCTCATGCTTTTGAATGCTACTGGATGTTGTTAGCCAAAGGTTGCTTACTACAATGTAGAGACCCGACAGTCAGGCATTATTAAAATCTATAAGGGTTTATCAAACAGAATTCCACTATCATAACACTCTTTGCATGTAAATTTTGTATCTGATATTACTTCCCTTTGAGAGCCATTAATGGATCACTGACAGTTATTTAGAAGTTTGCATTCATGTAATAATTCAAAGCTTCATTTGAATTAGAAAACACACTACTACTAAACAATTCTTGCGTGATCAAAATGCAAAGTAGATTATTTGACACTTTATTTGTCAAACAAAATTTCATGTAAATTTATTTTTGTATAAAGACCTGTAATAATTACCAGATGCAGAGGGTTGCCATGTATACATGATTGATCATTCCATAGTTTATATTAAGAAGGATTTACTTATATGTTGTAGCCAATTAACAGCAAAATCTGGCTTATACACTCAAATCCATTACATTCACTCTAACTGCTTCACTTTATTGTCTTTGCAGATGTAAATCCCAAGTAAGCAATAGTGATGTAAAGATGGTGACTGACACATTTGCAGATGTAGGTCCTTGTCTTCCATATTGGTAAGACAAAGAGATTGCCACATTTGCACAAAGAGACTGATGATCATAATGTGTTACGAGGATCATAATGAGTTACGAGGAAATGATCATAATGTGTTACAGGACTCATTAAATAATAAAATCAGTTTGTGATTCAGTTTAAAACTAAGTATAAAAAATTTTCATTCAGACAACAGCTATCTATAGTTAAAATGCTGTAAATGAATCATTAAATATTTGCCTTTATAACAGAGAGTTTAAAAACAGGAAAAACATAATTTACTTTTTCTCCCAATATCCCCCCTCCCCCAAAAAAGGAAAATACTTTCTGTACCATTTTTGGCTGCTCTGGTTGCATGGACAATGAGAGAATCAACCGATCCACCTCGTAAATCAGGTCCTTCTTCACCCTATTCAGACAAAACATTATTGTTAATGAAGTCACAAATATAAAATGTGCATGAGAATTTAAAATCAATGAAATACTTTTTCACTATATACATGAATGTAACAGAACATGTTATAATACTAGAAAAAAATATAAACTTACAGCATGAGAATGTTCACATATATATAAAAATATTGACATATATAAACTCAAAATACTTTTAGACAGAAGGCATATTTTCTTCTACATAAAAAAAAGAAACTCTTTCTTTCACAGCAACATTTCAAAACCCAGTAGTTTACAGTCACTCAGAAATGTTGGCAAGCTAATGAATACAGAATGTTTACAGGTTGGTAGTTCAAACTCTAAAAATATACTTAATGGCAAGAAATAGATATGAGAGACTGCAAATTATCTATCGTCAAATTTTGCTTAAATTTTGACGACTTTAACAAACTTAGCTGTTTAACAAAACCAACAACTATATAAGTAATAAAAATTTTCCGAAAAAGAAGCATTTTACATTACTTCATCATCTGAATCATGTTAATTAAATCATGTATTTGCTTCTTTCTTCCCTAACAATAACAATGATATATAAAGTACAAAATTTTATACTATGCCTTAAGTAAGATGGCAGTTTAATTTCATATAACTTAACTAATTTTCATTTCAGACAATAATTTAAATTATAGCTGAGTAAACGACATTTTCATTTGAACGGCTTCATAAAGAAAGGACTTTCTTCCAGAATCTACTTTGCATTCCTACACAAGGGGGGGGGACTTTTAGAAAGCATCTGCATGGTATGGGTTTGTCAAGATCTTAAAAAAACAGACAAGATGAAAAGAGAAACCAGAAACTACTTCACTTTGGAAAAAAAAACAGCTAAAACAGTTCAAGGAAAATGGAGAAATAAGCTCAAACACAAGGCGAATACCCCAGATTAAAAAAATCACTCACAAAGACTAAAATCCCTTAGTAGTAAGCTCAGTAGTACATAAGTCTAATAGAAACTACACCTGAATTCTTGACTTATTCTCCAGCCCACCAGCAGCTGAGCAGTAAAATCGCTGAACACTGGTGGTTCCAACCTGGGTTCGAATCCAGGTGAATGGGCTCGTTGTATGGGCCCTTTCATGGTTTTCCTCATGTGTAACGTGTATACGAGGCAGTTTCTCCTAGAAAGTTCTCCACAAGGCATCCGTTCCTGTAAGCAGATAGCCCTAGCATGCTTTGCCATAATAAACAAAACCAAAACAAACCTTGATGTATTCTACAATGCAGCCTCTATTTATACCTCCTTCCACAGGACACATGCTACTGCAAACTTTTAGAAAATACTCTTTAGGCTTTAAAAATGTATTTTCAGGAAACTGAAAGTTTGGCAGTCCGTATACTGCCAAACTGGACAAAAAAAAACTACTTATCGGCTACCTGGCTCAGTAAATTATTTTAATCTTATTTTACTGATCCTTCTTAAACTATTTCCACAATTCTGATGTCAATCAACTCAAAAGCTCTATAAATTAATACATGATTTTAACACATGACTATAATAATTGGTCACAAATCAACGATTCTGCAAAATATACAGTAAATAAACTTAAAATTACTGTACAATAAGCATTAAATAAATAACTAAAAACAGTATACAGAGCAATAAAAAACATAAAAAAATATAGAAAAACAAGCAGAAACAATTTTATAGATTACAAAACCCTCCTTGATGGATTTCACATTCAAAGCAGTGCTGTTTCAACCTCTTCACTCCCTATCACACATTATACAACTCAGGTTTCCCATATGCCCACTTTATCAACTGTCACTAACAGTCCAAATGGAATGTTTTACTTATTATTATTTACTTATTATGTCAGAATGCTGTGAATATTTACTGAATAAAATTTCAGTGTTGGCACTGTTATTAAATTATTTATTATTTTATGAAAGTAAAATGCACAATGCTAAAAATACCCATTCATAATGTGGAAACATGTCACACAGTGCAAGAAGCTTAGAATTTTTTAAGTAAATACGGCAACATAATAAAATAGTTTCTGATATTTAAATTCTTAAGCTTTTTACTTCAGTGCTATAAAGAAATAATTTAAATAGGGGACGCATTAACTACTCTGATTTTTTATTTTAAGTATTAGGATTTTCATTTATGTACACTGAAGAGCCAAAACATTATTATTATCTACTCAATAACATGTTGTGGGAACTCTGGCCTGCAAAACAGCTGTAACTCACCTTGGCATAGATGACTGGAGATAGGTTCTACCAAATGTCTTAGCATCGGTCATGCAAAGTCGAGATATTCCTACACTCTGGCATTTGAGCCCTGAGCTGCCACTCCATAACATCCCAAATGTACTCTATCCGGTTAAGATCCTGCGAATTAGGTGGCCAGGACATCAACTGGAATTCATCCTTACGCTCCTTGAACTACTCTTAATTCGAGCCTTGTGACATGGGATGTTGTCCTGCTGGAAAATTTCATTTCCAGTTGGGAATACAAATGCCATGCAAGAGTGCAACTGATCTGCAATTATGTTCAGATAGTCCACAGTTTCATGGTCTGTTCTACGAAGACTAAGGGTATAATAGCTGCCCATGAGAATGCCCCCAAAGCATAATACTGCCACCATTAGCCTGTGTATAACCTGCTATACAGTAGGACAAGAAATGTTTGCCTGGAAGGTGGTATACCAACATAACCATAAACATGATGAATCAGAAATCATGTTGCATCTGACTAAGCAACTGTCATCAATTTATCCATAGTCCAGTCTCGATGTTCTCCGGCCCACTGTAGGTATAGTTGATGATGCTTGGTCAACAAGAGCACACAAGTGGGACATCTGCACAGTCCCATATCCAGCACTGTTTTGTGTTAGAAATGCATCCTTTTATAAAGTAGAAAACACTCATTTAAAAATCTAAATGAACATTCTATGTCCTGGATAGAAGCCTCCATCAAGTGGTTAAATTACTTAACCCCTTCGCGATAGCATGTAGCTGAACTAAAATAACCCTCTACAGATGGGTGTGTGCCATATATGCATCAGTTCCCAAATGTTGCTAGCAGCCGAGTGATGCACTGATGCAACGCACTGTCTCGAAGGTAAGTTGCACTAAGCGGCATGTCATCTTGTAAGAGGATTAGCTGCTGATGCATATATGATACACCTGTCCCGAAGGGGTTAATGATGCATATGAAGAACAAAGAGAGAATGTTGCAATGTTTTAGTTAATTAAGTTGTACATATAATGCTACATAGTTAATACATCCATATTCAACCAAATAAAAATTTACTTATCCTCAGTGTTGAGATCCACCAGCAACTGAGCACTAAGACTGCTAAATCCTGGTAGTTTGATACTGGCTAAAATTCCAGCTGACAGATTGGCTGCACGGGAGTTAATTTTATGGTTTTTTCAATGTGCAGTATAAATATAAGGGAGTTTCCCTAAAAAGGTGCATCACAAAGACATCCCTTTTCTTAGGCAGGCTCTATCTCTCTATGTATATAAGCAATTTTCAGCTTATCTAATGGTTATTCAGCATAAATACTTTATTGGCCAAAAATTTTAAAATGTATCAAATGTTACTGTGCATGCTATTTAAATCGGAAACTAATTTTGAAATCACAAGCCTGCCCATTCACATTTAATGAATACAACAGAAATTGTTTAAATATATTCACTGAAGTACATTGGGGCTTAACATGCAACTTGCTTGAGTTCATAAAGAACTGATCTATTTCATTGCAAATTATGAAACAGATTAAGATGCAATAGCTAGGAATATTCAATTTCCAGTTCTTAATATAATAGTCACATAGAATGTAGATCCCTTCCTTTGTTCGAAGCCACTTGCAGTTGCTTTGTTTAAAATCCAGAATGATAACGTCAGCACTGCAGAAGCTGCTAAATTCAGAAAGATCTTAAAAACAGCTTAAAACGTCTTGACAAAGCATGCATAAAGCTATTTAAAACAGGAACATGGAGAAGTGCTCTCATAAGTTCAATTTTTAGTATATATTTTACCACTAAAATATAAAGCAAAAGCCTTACAAGGAAGTGAAAAACGAGCTGGCATTGTAATTAATAACAGAAAAATATGCAGGAAACAGCTTTGTTCAACATCAGCTTGAAATTTATAGTTTGTGCTTTACGTTCTTGTAGAACCCTTTTTAAAAATGAAGCAACTGAATCAGTAACCACACTTGTGGTCAGTGTAAGCAGAGCAGCAGCTTTCATTATCAGGGATTGAAAGAATATTTTCTACTTTGGGAAATGTAATCAGCAAATTAAGAAATCAATTACAGGCTGAAAAGGCAAAGTTTTAGTGGAAGAGGTTAAAGCACTGAATGCAAATGGCAGTAAAGGAGATATAATGCAATAAAGTAAAAGTTATATAATTTTGAAAAAAGTCTCTAGATTGCAGTGCCATTCATATGATTATATAATAAAACCTTGATTATCTAATCTACCTGGGACTGCACAACTTACAATAACCAAAAACTTGTTAATAGAGATAAAATTTTCATTGTGTTAATTTTTCTTTTTGTAAGGTTTTCTGAAATGTTTTATTTCAGATTCTAAAAATGTGTGCACCAGGACTACTGTAGAACAAAGTCTGAAATCTAGATAACCAACCACATAAATAAATAAAATGATATAAAATGATTCCTTCGTGACTAAGTATAGGAATGATTAATATAATACTCAACAAAAGGAAGCAAGTGTCCCATACATTTCAATTTTTTCCCAACTCAGATTCCTACATCTCACTTTCAAATACCTGCTGCCTAAGCAACCACCACCCTGGCCAATGACAATACTGGCCTTATTGTTATGATACAATAACACGCCGAACAAATATTAATTTAGAAGTCAAACAACCAAAATCTGCACTATATTTTCAAATTTTCACAGGACTAGTTTCGATGATTTTATTGAATCATCATCCTCAGCTGCAAAAGCACATTTAATTAAAAAATATAACGCTGATTTCTGTTGTTTGACTTCTAAATTAATACTGACCTTATATTGATGTAGGCCAGGATAACACTTGAACCCTTGAGTTAGTATTTTATTATCTGGCCTAAACAAAAAATGAAGCTCAAATATTGCCATGTTTATGTGTCACCTTACTAGATTTAAAGTGATAATCCAAAGTACGGAAATTTCCATAATCTGGAATCGTTGAAGATTCTATGATTCCAGATCTAGAACTCTGTAATGTATTAACATTTTAATAAACTCTTTTAGTACTAAATAAAATTTGCTTCCTTCAGCTAAACAGATTAATATAAAACTTTATTTTAAGATAAAAATATTAATGAAAAATTGGAATACACCAACTGCATCAAAAATTTATGCAAACTGTAAAATTCTGTCAATTTCTTACATGCATTTTTCTCAGAATTTTTTTTAAGTCTGTTATCTTTCTCTATGTTCTCTATGACAGTCTTGTAACTAACTCCATTAGCCACAGCACAATCATACCAGTGATTTCATCAACAAAAGGTTCATAACAGAAACATTAGGACATGGTTCTAAATATTAAAGAACTTAATTCAAGGTTTTAGCATCCAATAGTGGTCAAGCATTAAAACATCTGAACACCAATAGTTCAATAAAGGTTAAAGTCCTGGTGAATGGGCTGGCTGCATGCGAGTTTTCATTTCTCCTATAAGTAATGTGATTATGAGCTAATTTATCATAAAAAGCCTCCACAAAGATAACTCTCCCTTTGAGTAGATAACCACTGCATGCACTGCCATTGTAACAATAAACTAAAACCAAGATTACAGATTTTTTTACTTTACACATCATTTACTTCCATACATTATCCATTCTGAACAATCAAGCTTTATCATCTGCAACATGTCTACGAATTCACTATAAATTAGTGTTGCTTTCATCTTTGGTGCATGTAAACCACATACTTTTACCATAATGCACCACAGGATGGCCCTTAAAGCTTCGTTCAGACGGGGGCGTAAAGGGCATAAGTGTTTAAAAAGCCAAGCTCATTGCCACGGCAACCATTCTGTGCTACGTCACAAAATCTGGTTTAGGACTCGTGGCATAGGGTTCAAATTTTTCAACTTTATGCCAAGTTTGGGATAAGCATCGAACAATCAGAGCGAAGCGCTGTTCTACAGAAGATTTCGCTGTCACAAAACAAGCAGAGCGAACACGAGAAATCAATCGAGCAGGAGAACAGCACGGGAAAGTTGTTGACACATCCATGCATGCGCAAATTTAGCTTCTCTCATTGGCCACGCCTTACACCCCCATCCTCGCAGGTGTGAACAGAACTCCCGTATTTTATGCCCTTATGACTATGCCTCTATGCCCTTTGTGTCACCGTCTGAACGCAGCCTAAAGGACCTATCTCTGAAAAGACCAAAAGAAAACCAAAGTTAAGAGAATTCAGAAATATTACTGAGTTTTTCAAAATGCTTTTTAATGGTACTAAAGGTTGAAGTTTACAATTGGGCACCCCTTGTTTTTTGGCGATTCTTTTTTTACGCCAAGATCGGCGCCAGGAAGGCACAATTTCAAGATGGCCCAAACAAGATTGATTTCAAGATTGACGCAATTTCAAAGAATTGCACAAACAGATCTCAGATGATTAAGATCTGGTTAATACAGGTTCTACTATGTTTAACTCTAATTTTTTATTCCTGTTTATATAAAATTGTAAAAACGAGAGCTTTCTTTTTTGTTGTTTGTAAGTATATGAATATGTAAGTTTATGTTTAAGTAATTGAAGGGATTTTGCATGTCTCTAATGTCAAAAAGTTGCCAAGATATTTGTTTCTATGCTATTAAATTATAAAATTATGTACAATCTGCATTATCTGAAATTATCATCCATTACATTAATTTATGAATGAAAATATGAATTATGTTTTTTAATATCATCTAATTAGAATTTTAAACCTTCAATACATAATAACCATTTTAATCATTTAACCATTAAAAATTTAAAAATCAATTTTTTTACACAGTAAAAAAAAATCAAAAATTTTTATGCTCTGGTACTTGCCACAGGATATATGATTGGAAACTTGTTAAGCTCTAAACATATCACAAGATTTGCTTTATTTTTCCATATTTACTTTGGCCTTGTCTCAGAAAAATATTCTAAAACATTATGGAGCACATTTGCTTGACCTAAATGACCTCCATATCATTTAACGCTATAACTCTTATAAAACAAAGGATTTTAGGATCTTGTGGATTTACTTGCGTCAGGAAACTGTTTCATCATCACCTTCCCATAGTTGTTTAGATTAATGACTGTATGCTTAAAGGAATTTAAGAACATCCAGAACAATCCTTCAAAGGGAAAGGTGGTAAAGAGTTTTATCAAATGGAGAAAGTGAATCTTACAAAGCCTAGTATCTTTCTGTTGTTGGACTACACGATGCATGACATTTCTTACCGGGTGGATTTTAAACTGTTTTTCTCTGTAAATTCTATCAATGGCATCAATTCAGGATCTTTCACTTGAGCCTTTCCCATTTCGTTTTTCTTCATGCATTACTGCTGTCTAATATTATGCAGTCTGTCTGTCTAACATTATGAAGTCTACTGCAGTCTGCAGTTACTTATCAAACCATTAGGACTTAAAATTTTTCTGTTTCTGAACAGTGCTTGTACTTTTTCTGCATAGTAACATTAAAAGTATCAGCATTTCTGCCAGAAGATTCCTGGCAATGTCAAATTTCTATCCAATCCAATTTTCCATATACTTTAACCCTCAGACAACTTGACTCGGTAAACATCTGAAATTAAGTAGCCAACTCAATGAAGCATGATTGATGCACAACAGAAATTTGCAGCCATTGTCATAACAGAGAAAATATTCTATTGCATTAACAAGGGTTAATAATTCCTCACTAGCAACATATTAATTTCAGCAAGTGCTTAATAATTTAAGTAATAATAATTTTTTAGCATCTATCTGTTTCCTTTGTTGCAACAGAACTGATTACAAATTCCCAGCTCCAGTTTTATTTTCAAATGCAAATAAATGGATTCAACAAAAGTGCTTATATGTCCTTTTACACAATATTTTAATAATATATATATATAGTGCAATTATCGTATATGACACAAATTTATAATTTTATCATGCTTCTAATTAATTTATAGCTTTGAATGCATTACTTTCACTTCTCCCATATTTTTTTTTTTTTTTTTTTTTTTTTTTTTTTTTTTTTTTTTCCCTTTAACATGTTTGGTGAAAAACTTGTGAATAACAGAATAATCAGGGTTCACAGCCTCGTAAATAAACTAACACTGCCTATGTTATGCAGATGTAATTAATTAATTTCAAAATAAAATACATTAAATATTATTTTTACTGCACACGATGAAGCTAATGAAATATGTATGAAATTCTCCAATTTAATTAAGAAGAGAAATAAACTGAAATATAAATATTTGGTCACTGGGACTTGTGCTATATCCATATTAGAGGTTAAAGCAAAATTATATTACAGAAGTCATTAATAAAACATATTTTTTATCAAACAAATAAAAATACCATGAATAAAAATAACTTATACACTTAATTTTAAAAAATATAAAAAACTTTAAAATAAAACTATAAGCATACACTTTTTTTCATTATTAAATATTCAGTTGGATCCAGTTCATCCAATGCTCCTTGAAGTTCTGCTGAATTTTCTCCATCAACTGAAGGCAAGAGGACACTAGCTTTCTCATAACTGAAACAATACATTATATTATTTAATTATGATTTAATCATATTACCACATATATTAAAAACTACAAGTCCAATTTTAGATTTAAAGATGATTTATAAAATTTCAAAATTGAGCTCATTTGCAATGTAATTTCAGACAAGTAACTGAGTGTTATTATTTTTAAATAATCTTAGGCTATTATAAAAGGCATAAAAAAGTATTAAATCACACCCAAATAATAAATGGTAAATCTCACTGCAGCAGATTTAAACATCTACTGATCATTTTCATATCAACTTTAAGCTCATTACCTAGAAGGGGCATATATCTAGTGAATAATGGCAGTTAGGCAGGTCCATGCTATCATTACTACCAGTGACTAAGCAAGCTGATTATATATAGGTTTCATAGTTTTCCTGAGCGCAAAAATAATATGAACCCATTTCTTTTAAAAATTCTTCACAAAGAAATTTTCTAATAACTGACAGCTTCATCTCTAATAACTTTTACATTTAATCTAGAGCTATGTATTAAAATGAGAAAGAGCTACAGTACAAATCCTCATTTGTGTATACATAATGTACCATTAACAATCTAGAGATGCCAACCTTTGAGAAAACCCATCAGTGGCTTTGATAGTAATAGTTAACCAAATAAGTACAAGTTAATGCAAAACTCAAGAATTCCTGAGATTACAGGGAAGGGATTTAACAGCATAAACCATATATTACACTATATAAAAGGCAAATTACTTACAATTTTTCACTAGAAATTAACAATTAAGAAAATAAAGAAATAAGTAGCATCTTCCATGTTTCTCTTCCTTGCTTGATAAGATCAATTATGTTGCAGGTTTTACTGCAGCCAATTTCCAGTTTTCCTAGAGAAAATGATGAAACTGCCTTTGAGGCAGATTTTACTTGAAATAGTTCTGTTGTTTGTTGAATTGCACATAACAACCATGCAGTTGTCATTACTGGCACAAGATGATTTTCTGAAATCTTTTGGAAATGAAGTAAACATAGCCACTTTTCATCATTGTTATTGCTTTGTTTCTATTTTTGAAGAACTTTTTTCCTCTTCTAAACCAAAATGCTAAGTATATCTATCATAACAGCTTTTTATCAAAATACTTGCAAGAATACACATGCATGTTGTTACAGGTTAAAATGTGCTTTAACTTACTGCTTGAATTGACAGTCAAAACTGCCAATTTGGTGCACAGTATTTCCTGAAGTGGAAATAAAAATTTTTTACTTACCAAACCAGTGCATCTTTTTCCATCAGCAGATACACACTGATGAAAACTGACAAGAATGACTAATTCCTTCATATACATTTCAAACTAATACCTCATAATCCTTAGAATATATGAATACTCAAATAACTGTTCAAACCATATGTGTCTCCTGGCATGCCACTAACATCATGCAGATTTACACACCCTAGCATTTCACAGCACCGTTTCAATCAATCATTTGCTCCCTTTCTCATTACCTACAACTAACGATTTCATCTTTCAGTAGAATTGCCTATTTTTGGTGCATTTTTGAGTACATATGCCATAGTAAATAACCCACACACAGGCATACCACATATGGGATTGAGAACATTCAGATTTAAACACTTAACAGTCATATCGCTAAACAGTATCCACTGGTTGTAAAAGCATAAATTTTGACAAGGAGTTTTATTTTTCTTGTAAAATTTGTCACAAAAAGTAATTTTTTTTTTTTTTTTTTTTTTTTGCTATTATTTATTCATAGGAAGGGTGCCTACCTATCAGCTGTAAAGGTAGCTAAACAAATGCTTTCTGCTAATTCACAAACTTTGGCAGTGAATTGCCGAGTCTTCATATGAGTGCAAATTTCATAAGGGTACTTAACTTTCTTCCTTTACATCTCCAAAATCATAAAAAAGTATGTTTTTCATGGTTTTGTAGCTTATTCAGTCATTTCTTTCAAAACCATAACATTTTCCACACCAGGGGTTAACAAAAATATTTACAGAAAATTCAAAAGACATGACTGCTCCACATGAAATCTTTGACACACAAGAATGGCAACAAGCATCAGCCAAATCCAAACTATACCATTACATTGTTTTAAATATTTCTCTTACTCGATCAGCCTTAATCCTTGTCAATCATTAACTCATCCATAGCATCAATCACATTCAAATTCTTAACTGCCTCCCTTTCCCAACCTCTGGAATTGGCCAAGAACCTATCAATCATCAATCAAACTTCCAAACTCCAAGAAATTTATGCATGCATGCTTATTAATCTTTGACTATCTGTTTTGCAAACACCATGAGCTTCAGACAAAGGACCTTAAATGTTCTTTGCTTCAGATGCTCATTTTCTTCAGGATACTAAAATGTTCAGTGTTGGCCCAGACAACAATTCCATAGTCAGGCAGGGGGCTAAACAGCATTTAATCCCATTTGGGAAGATATGCATGCAACATTAGCTCAAAAGATTTAGTAGATTTGATGTTATTGCAATGACAGCATGACTTGAGTCAACTATGAGCATGGGATTTTCTGCAGCAAATTTTATCACTTCCATAATTCTGCAACACTGAGCAGAAATAAATAATCACGGAAAACCCATAATAGTTGGCAGCCCTTAAATTATTATGATAATGCTCTTAAATTATAAATGTTTGACAGATAACTTGCCTGTCTGCCAAACATTGCATGAAGCCATGAAATTAAGCACTTTATAACAAAACTGGAGTTTTAGTTTCTTTTCAACTAAGTTGACATACAAAATGATACAGAATTAAGTCAACTAATGCCTTGGGCATATTCTATGGGCAATGGTAAACAAGAAACAATGAATATATCATATGAACACACAGTGAAAAGTACTTAGTTTATGAAGCATCAGGACATTGAATATCAGTGAAGTAACTTGATCAAAAAAAAAAAAAAACTATCCTCTTGATACCTGCACAGAAGAATATAAGATGGCAGGAAGTAATGTAGTTCTTGATGTTCCATAACACATGCATGATTTCTATACAGAAATATGTATGACAACAAAAGAGATACCAACTGCAATACAGTGACTAGTACAGGGATGGCCAACCCACGGTATGTATGCCACAGTGTGGCACAGTGGAGTTTTAACAGTGGCTTGCGAAGACTTATTGAAAAATTAAAAGATTTGAAAAAATAATATCACTTGCATTAACTCATTCAATAGATATACACATAAAAACATTAGAATAAATATAACTCTTTGAATTTTATTTTAGATTTATTTCACTACAACAACAGCGATACTCCAGCACACTACTGTTGTAGGTTTGGCTCAATACATGTTTGTGAACCAATGTTTTCTATTATGAACATAATAAAATCAAAATATCATTCAAGATTAACTGGTATGCACCTAAAACACCTAATTTCGTTAGTATCTTCAAGAACTAATCCTAATACTTTGTAAAAAATTTACATATTCAAAACCCACACTAAGTACTGACTGACTGTTTAAAAATTATTTAGAATTATATGCCTCAAATTATTCATTTTTATACATAAACTAACTGACTGAAGCTTTAAAATTGTTTATTAACAATAAAACCCTGATTTGTAAGCTTGTTTTATTTATTATATATTTTTTTTAAATGTCCATCACTCAGACTTTTATAAAAAAAATGTGCATTTTGCATAAAAATCCCATAACCAACCTATAAATAGCATTTTTTCACTTTTTTATATTTTTTAATATGTTGGAAATGGCAAGCATAACTTTTTTTCAGATCGTGGTGCTCTTCCCAAACAGGTTGGCCACCCTAGGACTAGTATATGAATGAGCTGTCAATTTTCCAGAACATATCTTTTAAAAGAAACATGTCAACTGATAGCTGCATGTGATGCTTCATAATTCAAACCTAGCTAGGTTAGACAAACACGCATACTGTTTATAAATAGATGAATGCTTATTTTATAGAAACACAAAGCTGGACCATAAGACAATTCTAATTAACATCCCAAAATAACCATATCATGATAAGCACTCTACAAGCAATTATAACAAATAGGCATAAGAACAAATCATGCACGCACTCCACCTTGATGCATGAAAAATCTAGAGGTACTACTCAAAAGTAAGATACTAGAGGCTAGCAAAATACAACTCTGTCAAAAGCAAGATACTATTCTTGTCAGTCACCAAGGCATACACATACAGCACTATTCTAATAATTTGCAAACTTTGGGAACCAAGGACTGGAGATTTGAGAATTTTGTGAATTACAGGTCATCTTTCTGGATTTTATTTACATATCCCGATTTTATTTTTAACACTGTTTGCAGATAACTTAACATACTTTAGAATTACTTAATCATGATTTACTAAATGCAAAACTATTATATATTTTAAATACAGTTATATAAAAAAAAATTTACCAGTACAAGTGCAAAACAAAGTGCAGAGAAAAAAAGGATAAATGAGAGGGAAATACATTTATCTCTTGAAAATACACATTAAAATAGATAATATAAAGAAAAAAATGTGGTGCATTCAACACTAAAACTACTTTCAAAGTACTTTTATGCTTTTAAAAGAAAGAATTAATAAATAAACACTGCTTGCAGTAAATGGAATAAGATTTTTGCTAAATTTAATTCTTATGTTCCATTTCCATGCAACTAGGTTAATGACACTATCAGCAGTCAACAAAAATTACCAGAACTATTAAATGTTAGTTAATAGTTCTGAATGTTAAATATTAATGAGTTAAATGTTCTTAAGCCCAATTTTCTTTACCATATTTTCCATTTTAGACACCAGAAAAATCTTTACAGATGCTATTTTTAATAGTCTATATTCTTGCTCATTGTGTAAAATGTAAGTTACCCAAGGTAAATTTAAACAGGAATTCATTGCTCAAAACGTTATGGGCAAATAAATTCAGTACATGATACATGTTCAGAATTAATTATAACAGAATAGAATATGTATCCAAGAGAAGGGATTTATCTAAAAAAAACTCCAGATATAAAGAAACTTTCTTTACTCTAAAATGAAAGTAGTGATGCATGCAAGACAATGCTAAATAATTTCAGTAACAAATGAATTCAATAAAAACATGATACAAATGTATATTTTTGTTTAACCCCTTCGAGCCGGGTAGACATGCGCTTATCGTGGAGGCCGGCAGTGTCTTACGCGAGCGTCTGTCCAGGGCCGGGGGCTTTTTTGCTACTAAGCCTAAATCCATGAAATTTCCGAAGTATCAACGCACTGTTTAATAATGCTCTATAGAGTATTTAAACGGCTTATGCTTTATTAGATATTTTTATACTATATACTTTAATTACCTTATTTCTTGTTTAAATGCATATTTTATACATTTTATTTTCATTACTCACCATTTTATGACTTTTAACATTATACATCTAAAACTAAATATATTACTTAAAATTCTCTTTTCGTATGAAAAATTTGAAAACAGGGATCTACACACAGTCCTACGTTACATTCCTTCCTTGCACTCGTAATAACTCATTTGCCATTTTGGAGGATTTTTCCGCGGAATGTGAACAAACGAAGCATCGTCGTCTCATTTTCTTATCAGTCTCTTCTGAACAAAGTTTTGGAAAATGTCTTTCAGTTAATCTTTCAGAATCAACATCAGAATTTTTCAGATTCAATATCTGAAATATTTTGCATCATTTCTTTTCTGCTATTTCATACTCTGTTAAACATTTTCGACGCTTCGACATTGCAACGGTAAAAACAGAAAGAATTCATGTCTAACAAGATCTAATTATTTTCTAAAAACTGAACTGCAAACTGAAATACCCAACGCTTTAGCGCAAATAAAACTTCTCTACTTAAATAAACAACTACCACATGCGAATAAAGTGCGATTTAAAGAGACGTCATAAATCACGCCATTCGGAAACATTTATTTCCCCTTTTGTTTATATAATCAAAAACACGTGTATGCGAGTCATGCTTTTCTCATTTCGAGTAGAAGGTCTAATGTACATGTATCTGAAACCATATGGACATACAGTGCCATCTTGTGGCAGAAATTATAGTTTTTTAAAACGTTCCAGGACACTGGCACAAATACGTGACAGTCGGTAGTGCACGGGAAAATGCTCTGGCACGCCTGCGTGTCGGCCGGGAAGTGACTGTGTTCGTTGCTGGCACATAGACGTGACAGTCGGCGTAAAGGGGTTAAAAAGGAAAAACTGCTTAAACTGCTTTTAAATTTGCCATACTGATTTTCCTGAAAGATTAGTCTTTTTAAGTTTACATCCAAAGATGAATGAGGATTATATTGAATGTGGATTAAACAGTCACAACCTATTGCAATACTAAAAATATATGACAACTTCCATTTCAAATTCTTGTTTTGATAGGTTCAGGTAACACTTACTTGTGCATCATTTGCAAGATGATGCCCTTGCCTCAATGAGAACTGAACACATGAAATTTTCAATAATTTTTCAATTATTTCTTTGAATTCAGAACATGCAAGACTATTGCAAACATCAGTGGGTAACTAAACAAAGCCAATAACACCAACAGGAATTTAAAGCACTAGTGAACATGTAACTGGCACCGAAAGTTTGATAATGAAAGTGCTTAAAAATAATGGGCAGTATCGCCCAAATAATAAGACAGAAAATAAACATTGCACTTTAAAATTGTGAATGAAAATTAAAAAATCAGTTTGTTACGTACATCCCAATCTAATCTGTATAAGTAACAGATGGTGACACATGACAGTAATATGAGTTGGCATATAAGCATAACATCATATGGCAATCCAAAATACATGTCATAGGATTATTAAACATGGAAATGGACAGAAATTTTATTAACTCTGCTACTTGCTCCCAGGACAATTCTTAGAGGAAGCTCAGCTAGACTTCTGCTGAACACGTGTACAAAACTACAGCTGAACTTAAGAATGATTTTTGTAACAACACACTGAGTGCTAAAATTGATCCTGTTGAGTACACTGAAAAACACAGCTACATGCAGCAGCTTAAACCAAAACCAACTGAATCACATGCAATGAAAATATTTTTGCATGTGTTTATGTGACATAATGCAAAATGATGGCCATTACAACCACCATATGATGGATGGCCCTTTTAAAATGCTCAAACACGGTGCAAAAGTTTTCAACTTATGCATTCATGGAAAAAAGTTTAATTGTCCATATGAAACCAACAATGTCTAATACAGACATGGATTACCTGCTCTTCTGATACTTTTGCAAATCATGCCCAACAAAATATTCATCAAACTTGGTCTGGCAGACATGTACATTTCCCTGATTTTTACATATCATCATTATAACACTGGAGGGTGAGTATGGAGTGGATTGCACAAATAAAAAATTGCTGTGTGCAGTCCCCCACAAGTCTTAACCCCTTAACTGCCGCGGGCGTATATATACGCCTTGCTCAGCCGATGCGTTAACTGCCCCAGATGCGCAGCCGATGCGTTAACTTTGCGAATAATTTTAAGGTGTAGCAGCGCAAAGCAAATGATAGCAGTTTGGAAGGACGTATTATTATACGCTGGGGCAGTTAACGGCATATCGCCCGCTGAGCAAGGGCGTATATATACGCCCGCGGCAGTTAAGGGGTTAAGTCTCCAAGCTGTTACAAGGCATGAGATGACATGCTCTGATATTGCAGAAGCAATCATTTGTGCAATAATGCTGCCACTTCACATTACAAAAGTCATACCTTCGTGACCAGGGTCAAGATTTTATCAACCTGCACTGCACCCGTCATCAAGACATCTCGAATTCAGAGGGCTGAATAACCAACCATCATCTTGCTGCTCTGATATTTCAACTATAATGAATCACAGAATGTAAAATACAGCCATAAAATTAAGAAGGCATGATTAATTCAGTCTGCAGATTGTTTTAGACACAGTAACATATCAGAACACTCTCACTCTCGACTAGAGACTCTACCATTAGCAAGATCTTTGCATAATGAGGACAATAAATTTAACTTACAATAATTGTTTCTAAGCATTCAATATTAATTGTCATTGTTATTACATATTATTAATAACAGTTTCTCATAGATTTATAATAAATGTGTTTAGTTCTATATGCAGCAAGTAATATGCACTCTAAACAAAAACAACCTAACAAAGCACAAAACAGTCAATTATCAATCCTTATATGGAATTGTTCTAGCAGCACAGACTGTCATCACCCCAGCGGTGACTGAGAACTGACAACAGCATAAATGAACTATAATGAACTATTCTCACTCCACTACTAACAACTATCCCTTACGCAAGTGTTAGTCCAAACATCAGAAATTTCGCAGGACTAATGAATGTCAGGTTTTTATTAAGCTCAAGAAAGTAATACCTAATGAGAGGACTAGTAGCCTTCAATCCTCTTATGCTGGTGACAGATGTTAGTACAGTTAAAATTCATATGTATAACATATCATCAATGATGTAAAAAAGCCAACTACTTTTGTTTCTTATTCCCTAGCACACAGGTGGAAACATATTACTCTCACTTGACCATTAAGCTTCAGCAATTGTTTTTGGAGTCTTTTATGGTCAACACTTTGTTCTCATAAATGCCAAATAATAACTTCCAATCAAATGTGCAAATCTTTACACTATCATTCAAACATTTACAAATATTTCATATGTTGAGATTCTTTAATATTAACTAATGCAAGGGCTATTCAAATGAAAGAAATACAGTAAATCAGAAGGAGAAAAAACTAATTTTACAAACTATTCTGCTATTTTATAACAGTTATAATCTATCATTAAAAATCCTACAGGAATGACACTGAATCTATTTTAAGTACTTACAGTACAATAAAATTTTTTTCCAATTTAAGAACATAATTACTTTTTTTGTGCAAAACTAGGTGATGCAGATTCATCAGTGGGACCAACAGGAGAATGAGTTGCAGGAGCACATGAATTGAACTCATCAGACTTCAAAGTAGTCCACTGCTGGGACAATCTGATACATCTCCTCTTGATAGAACGTGAGGCGGGGGAACACAACCTTTCCTCTCAAGGAGGAGACTCGACCGCAGGATAGAAGCTCATGAGCTGTGCGGCGAGAGGCTAGTTTCCCCTCCCTTCTCCTACATAGACAGAGACGCACGTGAAGAGGGGAATGGATTTTTATGACCAACAAAAAATCTAAGGCAAAGGTAGGGACAACGCCAAGAATAGGTCAAACAAGGGCCCTGTACTCCCTACCCCAATATCGACGACTTTTCAAAGCACGAGGACACCACGCCATTGGCTCGCCCCCAAAGGGACACGGCACCGAAAAGCAGAGAGAAAAGGGGAGCAGACCTGTAAGACTTTTGACAATAATTTGGTGCATTACCGTCTTGGAATTTATTCGGACTTAAAAATAAGAGTTCAGTTGCTATGACTTGGGAGACTTGGATAGTTCGCCTCATCGAGATATTAACCAAGATATTGAATTCATATGCTCTACAATATTAGCTAGCTCCATTAACTCTAGTTTACTTCCGGTGGGGAAAAGTCGCAGCTGGGTCCATTTTTCTACGTACTTTTTGGTTTTCATGGCTCCCCACACTTTCCACAAAGCCTCCTTAGGTGTGAAAATCGTTTTCCTACTGATCCTATAAATGTATAAGGTATCTAGAGGGTACAATAAAAGTCGGGGATGTCCCAGTATACAACCGATCCACTATCCCGATATTTATGTTTCCATCAGATATCAGGAGAATCCTTTCCATTTCACCAGTCTCCAGACAGGTATGCTGGCTATCCATCTCCCCAAATATCCGTCAAAATGACAGCTAAGCTCGTTTCATAGTTAATAGTAATAAACTACTAGTGACAAATGTAAAAGTCGTTCTCATAGTTGCAACATACTTACTCATGACTATGAGAAGATCATGACGAGAGTATTCTCTAACTGTGAGAAGATAATATACAAACGAACATCATCTTCTCATAGTTAGAACATACATACTGAATAAAAATTATAATTCAACGGAAATATCTTTCGATAGCTCCAAACCCCGCGCACCGCGGTTCGCAAGAGCAAGGGATATATCACGTGTGATTATCTGTCACTCGTACGTGCCTAAAGCATAAACATAATGCGTTAGGTCAAGGCTAAAGAACGATCTACAGTCGTAGAGTTCCAATCAATGTGTCAGTTGCTTTAGAAAAAGTTTCAGATAGTGCGAGAAGAGACGATTGAGAAGAAAATATAAGATTACTATGAGTATTTTAGCAATATCGTTACAGAATTAGAGGAAAGAAGGTTTACTTTATTTTGACGAAACACTCTTCTTTAGCCGTTATGAGTCATTCAAGAAGATGTACTGAATTGCTACAGAGAATAGTTAGTATCAGCAAATATTGCTCTGGTACAAGCTCTGGTAAGTCTGTTAACACTAAAACTGCTGTAAGTTTTCTTACACTGATAAAAACAACTATAAATTCGTCAAATTGAAGGTTATCGGTAGTTCTAGTGTTAAGATTGTAAGTGTTTTTAAATTAAAATAATCTTTTTTAAAGAAAATAGGTGGTTTCCTGTACCTGCCAATCTGATGGGTGTCCGTAAATATTGGTATACAATTGGAAGAGATGGAAGTCTTATGGTGATGAAAGGAATTCATGTCTAATGGATTGATTATTGAAGCCGTGTAAGAATGTAACAAGCAAGAATGGATTAACTTAGTGAATCAAGATTAAACTTAGGGAAGGCAACGCTGATCTAAGCTGATAATTACATACTGTTATGAAACGCCCAGATGTGGTAAGATAGCTTTCCCGCAAAGCGGGTTTAGATTGCCATAAAATCGCAAGGCAGGGTTGCCAGATTTGGCGCGAAATCGCCCATTTGGCCACTAAATCGGCGATATGCCGTAGAAGGAGCGAGAACATACTAGAACGAATTCATACTGGTCTTTCCTAGAATGTTCTCGAAGGCAAGTCAAAAGTTATAAATACCATGCCTGTACGCGGAGTAGCAGAGTGTATCGTGAGTTTTAGCTTGAAGAGTGTTAAGTGTGTTGGGTTAAGTAGTAGTGCTTTGAGATTAGCTTGACAGCGATCGACGGAGTTGGGAGCTGTACTTTGGTGCTTAGCGTGAAGCTGTCTTTACCGTTATAGCCTGAAGACTATGTTACTGATTGTTTCGGCGTGTTTATCGTAGTTTTTTGACAACTGCAACGCGTCTTTGGAACTTTCGTGTGAAATGCTGGTGAATAAATTGTTGTTTTGATTCTTTATCAAGTTTTGTCGTCAATCACTGAAATCCACAAACCCGTAGAACGCAACAATATGCAACTTAGCTTGGTACTGTTCTGTCATCAGGACCGGATTCAGAAATGTATGCACTTGTTATGTATGCATGTGCATATAGTATGTGTATACACGCATACATTCGTGATTACATATATGCGTTCATGAATACATATACCCGTAAATACATGCATACATACACAAATTTCTGGATCCGATCCTGATAAGAGAACAGTACCCTTAACTATAAAGTATACCGCGTTTCGAAATGGGAACGATTTCGCATAATAATGCAGTTTTTAATTATGATTTTAAAATGATCATATATCCATGTTAGGCTTTGTTAATTTTTTATAATCTCACAAGTATAACTAAAAGCCCGATATATGCAGGCAAAAATTCATATTTGTCCATCAAGGAAGTTTCTTAAATTTTTCATAAAGTTCTGGAAAAGAAATTTTTAAACTTTCAGATTTTATTACGCCGAAAGGGGCATTTTTTTAACGATTTTGTGTGTTACCTTCATTTATTAAATATCATGCTTTTCGCACTTAAACCATACAATTCAGTTCAACAGCAATATCGCAAAATAATTTTAAAATGAGCTTATCTTTAGAATCTCTGATACACAGTCTTTCCACGCTGAAGATAATTTTTTTTTCGTAGTGTTGCCACTGCTCGCTTTGAAATCGTTGAGTTTCTTAATCAAAAATTCATTAAAGTTTCAGAAAATATAAAATACATAATAAAACAAATTCCAAATTTTGGGCTTCCAGATGCCCTTATTCGGGTGAAAACGTACGTTATTCAAATTTGATGGCTGTAGGACCGTTGTTTTATAACAATGCGAGAAACATACATACATTTATGCAGATTCTTCATTATTAAATTTCTTTAAATATAATACACGGCGATAGTATTTGGTGGCAACGATTTGAAAAGTGAATCAACGTTTATTACAAATCAACGCAAAATGCCAAAACCAAATTAATAGCTCTTCTGGGTAAATTGCCCCTTTGGACTAAAAATTCATAGTAATGACTTAGTGAATTCTAATGAACGATTTGTGAAAATTGTTATCTATCAGTCGTAAGTATCGAGCATCTTCGCAGTCAAGGTTTTATGGAAGAATCGTTAATGATGTATTTATCCAGAATATTCCAAAAATTATAGGAGATAAGTTATTTATTATAAATCACGACATTTATCTGACGCCATCAAAAGGCTCAAGTTGATCAAGAAACTTATTGCACGTGATATGAAAGAACGTAGACGAGTTTTACTTCTTTCTTTAATATTCGTAAGAAGCAGTCAGTCTCTTAATATACGAAGGAAGGGGAGGGGGATATCACCTTGGCTGTAGAGAAAGAAGTCACATGACCAGCCAAGGTAACATCATCACGAGCTTCACTTCCCGGGATTTTTATTATTATTTACTCTTTTAAATGGTTGCTTATCAGGGTTTAAGTCTGCAACCGTGACCCTCAGCAATTAGGAGTAATTGACATTTGAAGAATTTTAAAACGATGCTCGGTTTACAGTACGCGAGATATATAGTATTAAATTTTAATATAATTTTATTATTAATATTATGTTGTTGCTAATAAATATAATTCATACATTGCCTTTATATCTTGATATATAAAACCAAGAAATACTGTTTTATATCACAAAAATTATATTTCATTTTTATTTTGAAATGTAACAGAGTTCCAAATATTTGGATTTCTGAATCCGTAACTCTAAAGATCTGTATATTTCGTTCTTGTTAGGCCGAAAAAAGTAAAGCTTGCTTGAATTTGAATACCTGCTTTTAATTGTTTTGTTTACATTATACTATAAAAGGTAATGTATAATAATGCACATGCAAGTTTTTTATTTTATTTTATTTATTTATTTATTTTTAGAATGAATGCGATGTATTAGATTAGACTCCAGTGATCGGCAAATGTGCAACGTATGAACACTGGTGGGAAAGGATTTACATGCTGTATACAGGCTTACTGTAGTTTATTTATTTTATGAATCATTCCTTAATCATCAAAAGTGGCTTTTTTCCATGTATAAAAACAATTTCACTTGAAAGAAAACGAGTTATTCTTTTTGTTTTGCTTAAATTAGAAATAAAAGTTAATTTATTTATGGTACAATAAAACTCAGATTATATATTTTTAAGGCATGGAAGTAAGTAATTTTTAAGCAATTTAAAATTAATTCCATGGGTTTACTTTACTTGAACTAAAAGTATGTTTCATGTGAGGATAAACAAAGTATAATTTATTTTTTTACATTTTATTGAAGATATATATTTTAAAAATTTTTTAAAAATTAAACTATTTTATTTTAATTACATAGTCTTTGTTGAAAAATAAAACTAGTGAACGGAATAAATTTCCCCTCTCTTTCATTAAATGCGTACTTGACGCTCCTTAGGAAAAAAATCAAATAATTAGTTGTAGTCCGTTTGAGAAAAAAAATATAAAAATGGCTAGAATTAGACCGAAATTTGACAATAAAATTACTTTCTTATTTCTCAAAGGACTTTCCTGAGAACATTTGCAATAGAACGATGTGTCATCAGAAGTATATGTAATAATTTAATACTTTATATTGCTCTACTTTTATCACATCTCAGAAAAAATGCACTATTACATACCCTGAGCAAAATCTTGAGCCTTTTGTTATTTACGAAAATGCAATCTTCTTCC